TATATATATATATAAAAAAGAATTGAGTGTTCAAAGTTAAGTCTTTGAAGAGGAAACAAAATGAAACAAAATGAAGCATGAGGAACTAAGCATCATTCAGGTCAAAGTGTATTGTTACAAGTTTCAGAAAATATTTCTATATGAAGTGATATTTTTATTACACAGGACCAGTGCTGTTTCTCCTCCTGCTATGCATTTTCCAGCTTAATTACAGCAATTAAATAAAGGAAGGGAGATGCTCTTTGGAAGGTAGCTGAGAACGTAACACAGCATTTTGGACTGTTAGATACCTTCCTCTGTGTTCATGTTTCTTGTTCTTTGTTTACTTTAGCTCAAGCCTGGGAGAACATGATGAGTGCCTCAAGCCAGAGTCCTAACCCTAACAAAAAAAAAAAATCCCTCCTTTGCAGCAGGCTCAGGCCTCGGGCGCCCTGAGCTCTCCGCCTCCCACTGTCATGGTACCTGTGGGAGTTTTAAAGCATCCTGGAGCAGAAGGTAAAAGTACTTCTTTTTTCTTTCAGTTTACCTGTAGTAAGAATTTGGAAAATATATCTACGCTTCATCCATGCCAAATACTCTAGCTAATGCGTTCTGATATTCCTGCTCTCGGTAGGGACATCAGGTTTCTAAGGACAAATAAACTACTCTCAGCAGATGTGTTTATACATGATGCTGCCATAGGGAATGCACTAGATGATGTCTTAAGTCCCTTCCAGTCCACATTTCTCTATTATTTTTTTCAGTTTTACTTTTCTGTACTCAACTTTTCCAGTCAATGTTTCTGTGAGATCTTAAATCCTATTTTTTTTTATGTTCTCACCAGTGGCTCAACCTAGAGAACAAAGGCGTGTTTGGTTCGCTGATGGGATATTACCCAATGGAGAAGTTGCTGATGCAGCAAAACTGACAGTGGCTGGGACAACTTCCACAGGAACCTTAGCAGTGTCACATGATCCATCAAAGCCCGTGATCAACAACACTTTATCAGCAGAAGTAAGGAAATATTATGCTATTCACTGCTCAAAATACCGTGCTTGCTTAGGTCATAAATAGTATATTAGCTTCTATGGTGATTTCAGTAAGATCTAGGAAGTATGTTGAGGCTTGTCCTAGTATGTCGTATAGCAAGTGTCCTCATTTATTTTAATGTTTGCAGAGTGCTGAAGCAACCATATATTTTGAACTGAAATGAACTATTGTGGGGCAGAGCACTAAGCAGCATTTGAAGTCTGCGTGCTAGGTGTTCGGCTGTACAGGCTGTGTATGAAGGATATTTGTGTAATGCATGTTTTAAAAAAGCTGAGTCATGGTCAGTAAGGAGTTTGAAACAGTAAGATTGTCATAGCATGAAGCAGAACAATACTTCGGTTGACACTTTGCAAAAAATGATGTATGCAGGAAAGCGCAGATATAATCTAACAATGTTAAATCCACCATATCCCATGTGAGTGGAATTGAGACTTTGCAAAAAGTTCAGATGGACATATGTACATTTAGATTTTGTAAAGAAATGGGTGTATGTGGTGCTAGAGAAGGGAGATGCTGTCTCTGTCTAAGCAGGCTTTTTAGTAATAGTTCACATACAGGAGTTGTCACATGATCATCTGTTGTTAAAGAGCCAAATTACTTGGTGCTTCTGGTTCTCCAGCAGACATGGACTCCTTCATCTACATTAGTAATCTAGTCAGCCAGCTCTTACGTTTTTATCATTATTACTTTTGTAACGTTGTTCTTTCTTGTTGTTTGCTTCTTGTAGACTGATAATGCTTCTGTATTCTCGGGAAATATAACTCAGGTTGGCAGTCCTGTTGGCAGTGCAATGAATCTGATTCCTGAAGATGGTCTTCCTCCAATTCTCATCTCCACTGGAGTAAAAGGAGGTGAGGGTATAATTTGGCAGCTAGTTTTTATGCTTACCAGTTGCAATTAACCTAATAGTTACTTGTTTATTTTAAAATAAGATGCTGGCAATATGCTGAATAGTTGAAGAAATTCACAGTAAGTACTTGTGGCTAAATGTTGTGGCACTCATTTGATCCTTATTACCATCCAGGAAGAACCCCATCTTGCAATGAAATTACTGTAAGAAGTAAAATACAAAGCAAAAAGAAAATTAACTTCAGTCCAGAAATATGTGCTAATTTCTTCACTAATCAAACTGTGGGGAATGTTTCACACAGAGATACATTTTAATTAGCCTTATGAATATTCATGCCTCCCTTCTCTGAAATTCTCTTGGAACATCCGCTGTGTCTGAGGCATCCCCAAGCACTGCATTCAACAGCACTATTGCACATCTTGGCCCACAGTGAAGCTTTTAGTAATTGCGATGTCCCCTCCCAGAGTACCTAAATGGAGGAGGATTCCGAAAATTAAAAACTAATGTTTAAAAGGTTAAAAAAAGTGTATATTTGTTTATCTGACAATTGCTTTCCACAGTCTGATTCATGACATCCTTTAATGCATTCCTGGGATTAACTTATTTTTTCATCTTTTATTTTTTAATTTCTATTAAATATTTTGCTGATACAGTGCATTTCTAATGTTATGCTGGAGGTAACCTTTTATTGCAGGATAGTGTCAAAACCAAAATGTGAGCAGCATTTAATTTCAAAACAAATCTGTTCCATCCTGTGTTAGCTGTTCATGTGGGTGCCTGATTATTCAGTCTCCTCCACAAAAAAGGAGTGAAACTACAGTATACTTTTCAGCTTTCATATAGATAACCTCACCTACATCATATTTTGTATGGTCAGTTGATTTTTGTTTCATATGCTGTCACATGCTGGATTTTCTTTGCAGTGTTTTATTTCTGATATTCTAGCTCTTTTTAAAAAGATTCCAAAAACATTTTTCACATTAGAAAGCAAAATTACCTTTCTTTCTAGATAATTTTAGCTGGAAAGGTAATACATTTATTTTAAAATCTGTTTTCATCAATGTAACAGTTTTTTGTTAAAGCCTAAATACAGAGTAGATTATAATCAGATGGATGAAAAATTTTAATTTTCTAGTCATCTAGGTCTAGTCATAGAGGGACACTACAGACATCTCTGCAGTTTCATGCTGGGATCCATTTTACACGGGATTTAGACCTTCTATGATTTATAAAAAATGTTTTTTTATATAGTGTTCCTCCCTTTGTTATCTTCCTAGTAGCTAATGCACAGAAAGTGTAAGTTATGTGATGTAGAGATACACCATGTGTTGGTGTTTGTAGTCCACGACTGATGTTCTTGTGCTTTACTGTGATATAAATAACAATTGTTAACTTCTTTGTCATTGGGGATTTCAGTTGACACCATGACACATTTCTTAATTTGATTTCCATTTTCTGCTCCAATTGATAGGAAAAAAAAGTTGACTTATAAAACAAGCTGCACTTTTCTAAAGGATGTACAGTGATTATGCACATAAATGCTATTGAAGTTTGAAAATACCGGCCTAGGAAACAATCAATCAAAGCAGCAATGCTCAGATAAGTTTTTTTGAAAGGTCAAAAAAGCAAAAAGCGTAAGAATTGGGGTTATTTCATTGTTATGTAGAGTAGTGTGCCAGTGAGTTAAGGATTTCACTGTGTGTTTACTTGTTTCTTTCATAGACTATGCTGTAGAAGAGAGACCTTCTCAGATCTCTGTCATGCAGCAGCTGGAGGATGGTGGCCCGGACCCTCTTGTGTTTGTTTTAAATGCTAATTTGCTGTCCATGGTAAAAATAGTAAATTGTAAGTTTTTATTATTAAATAAGGCTTGGGGTAGGAGAGGGTAAATGTTATATATATTATTGGTAGGAACAGCAGAATTTTTATTTGGTAGCATAGTGTCTTAAAATGCGCAGGGATTGAAAACGTTGTAATTAACCATATTAAGTTAAATTACAAAAGGCTCTTTTCCAGTGCTTTAGAAGTCAATACAGATAATTTTTTGTAGAAAATACAAACCAGACTGATAGAGCCTCCAGTCTCAGGTTTGGAGATCAGTGTCTCCTGTCAAACTTGGTAAGGCAAGGTATTTTATCACTCGTTATTCTTTTGGTTGCTTGACTCCTTTCCCTGTCATCCCATTCTGGAAAAAGCAGGTAGGATCCCGTAGTAATATGCAGGTTCCATTCCACTGTCCACATCTTCTGTCCTTTTCTATACTGTGCGTGTGTGTGTGTACATGTGTGGAGGGAGGAATGGGGAGGCATACCTATGGCTTCTTATGTTAATACCTCAGTTGATCTCTGCTGGATAAGAAAACGTTATTTGAGAAATTGAGAAAGACAGTTTTGCAGTAAAATATTTTGGTTCTGTGAAAAGTTCATGCAATAAAATAAGATGTTGTTTATAAACCTTTCAGCATCTGGTTAGATAGCAGTACAATTTTTTACATATATGCATAGTAATGATATTTTTATGTGTATATATACACATATTAGATGAAAGGTTTTATTTCAGTAACTTAGTATTCTCAACAAATGAATTGTGAAGCTTGGAGCATGTGTTATCACTAACATTCACGTGAAGCAGAACAACACGATGATGTCTCATGAAAGCACCTGACATGCAGCTATCCATCTTAAGAGAGAAATACCACTGTCTGAAACTGGTTTAGCTGTCAGGATCATGATACGCACAGCCAACAGCCTGGCTTTTTCCCACGTTCCTTCAATCCCATTTAAATTCTGTCCTTTAATTTGGATACAGAAACTCCTGAAAGTCTGCTCTGGGGTGTTAATCCCAAGATCTGACTGGGAGTAATGCTCTGGCTCTTCCTTAGCTGTAAACTGGGAATTACTGAGCTGCTTTTGTTTTGGATGTGCTTGCTTTCAACGTAACAGATTTAAGACTTAATTTGTCTGTATGATATATCGCAACCAAACATGCTGTAAAACTGATTCTTGAAAGAGCTGTCTTCCTGTAGTGAAATTTTGGCTTATTTTATGAAATTCTGATCTTCTGATACATGTTTTCTTCTCTGCAGATGTGAACAGGAAGTGCTGGTGTTTCACTACAAAAGGCATGCATGCAGTGGGGCAGTCAGAGATAGTCGTTCTCTTGCAGTGTTTGCCTGATGAGAAATGTTTGCCTAAGGATATCTTTAACCATTTTGTGCAACTTTACCGGGATGCCTTAGCAGGTAGGAATGCTCTCTGTTAAAAATGGTTTGGATAGATGATCATACTAGGTCAGATACTCAGATTTTTGTCATTCAGCAAGCAGCTATTTTTGTATAAAAGAATATCAAAAGAGAATAAGGATCAAAGCTGATAAGGGGCTGAGTTGGTATTGGTTATTAGTATCCGGTGTAATATTAATCTCCTCAAATAATAGTATTAATGAGGTGCTGGTAACCTGGGGAGCTGCTCCAAAGATCTTCCAGCTTTCTTCTGGGTGCCAGCAGAACAAAGAAGTTTGGGCTATAAAGGCCATGCATAGACAATTAACAGCATGCAGCGGGAGGACTCTGCCCGTGATACACCTTTGTGTTCAGCAGCCATTGCTGACTGTCTACTCTGGCTGCTTCTGCTGGGTCATGGGGTAGGAATTTGAATACGGCTAAGATATCTGAAATTAGTACTGTACTTCATTTAGCAGTAAGTGTAGTAAGATACTCAGCAGGGATCATGGGTACACTAATGACATTGCTTCTAATAGTTTTGGGTTTTTTTCAGCCTGAAGTCAGGGTAGCTTTTTTGAAGATACAGAAAAGAAATTTTGAGAATCCTTGTGGAAAGTATGTTAAATATCCCCAAACCAGCTAGTTCAGAAATTTGATTCCCACAGTATGTGTGTCCATTGCCACATTATGGAGATACTATTTATATTATAAAGTAATACAAATATATATGTATATGTGTGCCTGGAATGAATTGTAGGGCAGTGCAGAAATTATCCCTGAATTTTGAATTTTAGTATCTCAATTTCAAGTTATATTATGTAAACCTTTACACAATTTACCTTTGCTAAGTAAATGGACATCTACTTTTAGCTATTGTCAGACCTTAGAATTAAAAAATTATTTCATAAGGAAAAATGCAAGTTTTCGAGTCCACTCATTAGAAAATAAAGCTATTTTTCCAGAGGAAAAATTGGATCACATTAAGCATATATACTGAAAATACATTTACAAAGGGTTCTACATATCATTTGCAATGCCTTTGGAGTGACTGAACCTAATCCTTTAATAGAATAATGAAAAAGATATTTGTTTCCTAAATTGTCTTGATACAACAAAGGTCAGCTTGTCCAGACAGGTTGCCAGGTTCAGAATGTACTTTTATCACGTCATAATGGATCTTGTGTACACTGCAAACAAATACATTTCCAAACCTCACTTCATTTGCAATACTTTATCTTCTAATTATAATGTTATTCAGAGGGAGGTAGATACGAAAAATTGCGTGTGTGTGTGTATACATATATATCTATATTGCAGATATAAATCCAGATTGGTGTGTATATTGCAATGAAGTCCTGTATAATTACACTACAGAGATACATAATTTATAACTCCTACATAATGTATCTGGAATTCTTTTTTTAGTGCTCTAGTGGTAGTAATTTGATATCCTTCAATTGCACTGGTGCAAAGAGCTGCTTACTATTGTAAAATTCTTAATCAGAAACCAAATTTCACTGTTTAAGAATTCCACTGTGTAATATTCTTTTGGTAGGATTTGCTCTGTGTTGTATTTCAGACCTGTAGTAGGAGTAGATAGACACTTCGAATTGCTATATAATACCAAACCGCACTAAAGTTTTTGTAGAACATAGCACCTTCATAGATTCCCATAGCATTTTGTAATGCACACTCTCAATATCCATCCTTTTTTCGTTCCAAGTCACGTGTGTTTGAGAGGGAGAAGTATATATTAGCGTATCTGCAACTTTGGCTGTTTCAGATGTTATTCAGCCAGAGAGGCAGGATACGATGCTCTAGGGGTTTCAGTTTGGTGGTTGTAATCCCTTGGAAGTGGTTAGCAGTTTGCATGCTGTTGTAGATGGAGCCGTGCTTCTGAAGTTGTTCATTTCAGAGGTACTTTACCTCTCCTGGCAACTGGATGATAGACATTTAGAGTAAATGAGAATTCCCATTAGACATTAGAGACTATTTAAAACCCTGCCTCACAGTTTCATTTTTTTTGCTATCTAATATATTGGTTTAAATTTATTTTGCCATCAGGAAATGGAAATAAATTCTGTGGATTTTTTTTATTTATCTCCTTCAGTAAATGTTTTCTTAAAAACACTCATAAAAAGACATAGTATTTTTTTATTGGAATGGAAAGAAGAATTATGTTTAGTGATGTTGATTTCGTTTTGGAGAGATTTTGAGTTTCTTCTTCTTTTTTTTTTTCAGCTGAAAAATACAGCATTCCCCTTTTGTTTATTTAATTAAAGCCATATCTATAGCAGTTTTTATTTTAACGAGCCACATTTATTTACTAGCTCTTCTTGCTCAAGTTTGAATCTGCATTCAAGCCTAGAAGTGCAAACTTGTATGTACTTGTGCCTCTTCCCAGATGTTGCTGCTTTCCTCAGAGGATAACTTGTTTCTTGAGACTGAGTCCTGTCCTCTGTGCTAGGCATGGCTCTCAACCGTTTGCAAAGTGTGGTTCTGGCACGTGCACGTAGTGGCAGCAGAGCCCAGGCCTCAGACAGGAGCGTTTAGTCTGTACACTCAACACTTTGCAGTTTGTCCTTCAGATTCCTCTCCTGTTTGAGCATGGATAAGATGGCAGTCCAGTGCAGCACCACCCTGAACCTTCATTAGTTTTGTTACAGGAAGTTCTCAACCTCAAGCTGTGGGTCTGGTGTTAGGACTTTATAATTGTAAAACAGCCGAGAGATTTTGGAGGAAAAATGTTTTTCGCTATAGGCTGTATGCATGTGAGTTATAATAAATTGTAATGTCATTAATTACGGCAAGTATTAATTGCTGTTCAGTTCCCATCACTTTATTTTTCGTCTGGCCCCTCTGTCATCAAGCTCCCTGCTGTGTTGCTTTTCTTGTTTTGAAATTGAAAGCTAATGATTTCTGTTGTGGTTGTAGTAGTTGTACTGTTGTAGTAGTAATCCCATGATTATCCTTGTCTGTTGGCTATAAGCCTGGCAGGAGGTCTAGTGAATGGAAAAATGAGAACTTCTGTCCATCTGAATGGGTACTTTGAAGCAGTTGGATGTGTTAATATAGAGCTGCCAGATATGCCCTAGTGCATCAACTCTTTGGTGGAATACAATAAATGCTACTGTTACTTTTGTGGTGAAAATGCAAATCTGGAAACTGCTTGAAATGGCTTTGTGATCGCCCTGGTTTTGGGGATATTCTGGGTGAGGGTAGATCTATCCCAGTCACAGTTTTGTGTATTTTTTTACCCAGCCTGGTTTTAATTAAATAAGGTGGTAGCTAATACAGACTAGATCTGTTAAGAAGGCCATGTAGATGTTCTGAACAGAGAACAGGTTAATTGAGTGATAATACACCCCTCCAAGTGTAATATGGAAAGATGGACACAAAATCAAACATCATATAAGGTGTGAGAGTGATTGTTTGAAAGACTGGCACAGACCAGTCTGAGGAAGTTTTGGATGCTGAGTAACTGCTACTCACAGTGATATAAGTGAAGCATTATGTCCCTTGCCAGTATGAATAAGTTATTTCCAAATTACCAGTTGAAGATGCTGAGTATGGTCAGAACTTTGAATGTTGAGTTTCAGATGTTTTTTTCTCAATGTGGGCCTCTGCTACAGATGTATTGTACCATCAAGTCACATTCACTGTCTTGTCTCTTCTGTGGCTCTTGGTGTGGTAGTGACTGGGGGTTTGTATTGCTTTTCCAAAGAGTATGTGCTCATTTGCTCTTTGTTCCCAGGTGAATATTGTTTTGCATCTCTTGCTGCAGAACTAGGATGCTTGGGTTTTCAGGATGCTGGCACAGGGGTTGGTACTTGGCTGTTCTTGGTTGTTACTGATGACAGTGGAATGAGGCCGGACAGATGCAGCCAAGTTCCCCAAGCCATATATGTATGCCTTTCCTGAGACTGGATGCTAATACCAGCTTTTTGACCTGGGATTAACCAAAAGATATGAAGCATACATGAGGAATTTAACCTCACTGTTTTTGGTAAAAGCACTTAAGTGGCTTCACCACATACTGAGGGCAATAAACAAATGCATGAATCTTTTTCTCTTTACATTTCCTGGTATAAACTATTTTATTTGAGTCCAGAAGGGATTGCCAAACTGATAGGCAAAGTACATAGTTCATCAGAGGAAGATACCTGAGTGAAGAATTCAAACCAGTGTGGATCATGACTGAAGAGAAGGTCACATCAGTGGATAAAAGCCTGGTTTTATGAAGGACTTTATAGAGCTGCTTAGGATTTAAAGTCAAGGGTAACCCAGTGTAACTGAGAAGAGAGTAAGTACTGACCTCCTGCAGAGCTGCTTTAGATGCATCATGCACACTTATGGTACTTCCTAAAGAATGTCAATTGTCTGATGTCAGGTGCTGGAACTTAATATAAGGAAAGGCACCTTTTTGTTTACTCTGAGGTTACCTCTTTAGAAAGGAAGTTGTGGTATTTCGTAAATTAAATTACATGCTTTTGAGAGCAATAGCTTTTTTTGAGGCTTCTACAAGCTTCTGAAACACAGTTCTGTGCTTAAAACATGTAACAGTGCAGTGGATTGGGTTTGACCATGTCAAGTTGGTAACGGCAACTTATCAGTGGGGCCTTGACTTGGAATCACCTTCAAAGATGTGGCAGGAAAGGCTGACAGCCCCTGGTCAGTGCAGAAATATTTATGGGACAAGCCCAAAGCGTCTTTTTGACTTGGGTTTGCTGGTTGAAAAGGGCACTAGAGACGTGTGTAGGAAAACACTTGCTTGATTCTTCCCATGCTCTCCACATAGCAGCCTCTTGCATGCTCTTATAAATAATGAATTGCAGCACACCTACCTAATCCCAGTAGTTTGTCCTCTTAATAGTGGTAACCTATTGGAGCTTGCACTGTGAGAGCTGCTTGTGTCAAAAGGAGTAATTTATAACGCTGTGGCTTATGGTAGCAAAGTGCTGAACAGCCAAGTTGCAGATTCCACTCTGAGGGTTTTTTCCATGTTTCTCTTGGCTGAAAAAAATCTTGTTAAGGCATCCCAAGCTTGTGAGCCTTGAAGCTCCATCTCCTGAAACGGAAAAAATAAGTAGTCGTCCCCTTCTGCTGCAGCACTTGGCATCAGTCACAAGTGGAAATGTCTGATTGCTTTGTCATCCCAGTGGGCAGTACTGCACATCTCAGAACTGTACAGTATTGTACAGCTTCACTTTGCCTAGCCTCTTTCACATAGAAAATACTTCAGAAAAGGGTGCAGAATTCAATAATTCAATTCAGTTTAGTAGTTCATATACTTCATACATTTTAAGGTTAGAAAGGATTAGTATGGTCATGTTGGAACTGTGAAGCTCACCAAGTGATTTTACTATCAGGCCTGTAGTTTCTATTTGGGTAAGAACAGATGGGAAGGGAAAAATGAAGTATAAATGAAGAAGAGGAGATTAGTGAGGGTAGGTGGGAACTGCAAAAGCAAACGAGTGGAGTTGAGATAGAAAAGTGCCAGCAGCTATTTTAGATAAGAGAAAAATCTTTTTCATGAACACCAATTGATACATTGGTTTGCACTCACTAGCAAGATGCCTGAGTTGATGCATTAGCAGTGTATTCACTGAGCAGGCAATAGTGTCACCGCACAGGCTGACAGAAATGCATTTGCACATGGGCAGGATCAATGATTTTCAGCAGCTGACAACATTTGATGTGGCTCTGTTAATCATGTCAGTCCTTCAATTTGACAACTAGCTACTTTTCATCAAGTATGCTCAGCTGAGCATTACAGAAATTGTAGCCACTATAAGAGTTCTGGAATTTGATCTGGGTTGGTGGTGTCAGCTCTGGCTCCTGTGTATCTGTAAAATTACACATCAGCTTTGCAGGATAGTGGCAAGCTACGAATGAGCCGCACCCTGCCATGAGGTGCCTGGGCTGCTGAAGCCTGTTGCCTTTTAGCAGAGAACTTGAGAGCTTAGTTTGTGCAGCACCTTGTGGGTACAGCGAAAAAAAATAAATCCATTAAGGTGCCTACAAATTCGAATAGCAAGGATACCCCTGAACTTATTTGTTAGAGTATAAAAGGAGCCTTTTGTTTACAGACCTGCCAGTAGCTATATTCAAAGCTGGAGGTCCCACGAATCATGTGAAGGAAGTAGTTCTCAGTGGTGATTGTGCCAAGGTGGTCTGGAGGGATGCAAAGTAGCATGGCCACATCTCCAGAGGGACGGCAGGAATAGCTGTATTATTCTCATGCCGGCGCTGGCTTCATGGAGAGTTGCTATGACTTGGGACTTTCATAGGGGTTCAGTGTAGAAGGCAGACTTGAAAGGACTCATTGGCTAACCTTTCCTTTGCTGGCCAAAACTGTACCTACTGTATTTATTTTTCTTGCATTTGTAAATGCTTGTGTATGATTTTTAGGCTGTTTTGCAGTATAAAAATAGAGAAGGCTTAACTCAAGGATCACACTTGTATTACTGAGGATGTCAAAGTTGCACTTCTGTGACTCATGTTTTTACTTACTTAAAACCTAGTGTTTGTGTGTTTATGCGTGTATCTTGTGTGTGAAAGGGAGAAACCCTCCAGTTACAGTCCGTTTGTCTCCAACATGCACATCCCTGCCTTGAATTCAAATACAAACATTCCATTATGAGGTGGTGGAGAAAGAGCAGAAACTCCCACTGAGCAGTCCCTCTGTCTGCAGGTGGGAAAGCCTGGGATTACTGCAGAAGCCCAGGAGGCCTGCCTGAGTGCCTCAGACCGACATGATGCCTCACGAGTGGTGTGGTCAACCACACCGTGCTCTCTGAAATTACTTGTGTTTTTCTCTGAGAGCAAATCAGCACTATTAATATTCACATCTTCTTATGGAGAATTGCGATCGGCTGTTCTGTACATTATTTGCATGCTGTTGTCATTTGATAAAAGGAATCATGCCATGGTTCTTTGCTTCAATGTTAAATGCTGTGTTGGATGCTATAATAATCTAATCAACATTCAGATTCATTCAGCCACTCCAGTGTAAACATTTTTGGAAATTAAGAGCATCAAAGAGTAAAAATGTGAGTAAAAATTAGTGATGTTTCTCCCCTGTGTGTCTCTCAGTTGCATTTTACATTAAGTATACTAATTAAATAAACACTCTTTTGTGTAATTCTTAAAATGACCCAGATCTTCAATATGTGTCTGAGCAGGCATCCCAGTGGTTTGCCTAAATGGAAGGACAATGAGTGGGCATTAATCATTTGACATGTCTCCTTTAATCGCAGCTGGGTCTGAAAGTTTAGTTCAGTCAACAGCAGCTTCTGCATTGGAAACCCCTTGCGTATCTGGAAACACTGAAAACAGACTTTCTGTGGGTGCTTTCATAGTGCTCAGGGGAGGTTGCAGGTACCACTTCCTTAGCAGCAATACTGGCCTGAGCTATCCTTCCTCTTCCCTGGCTGTCCCTGGGATGTATTATCCCCTCTATTATACTGCCTCTACTACTTGAAACAGGCTGATCTCCAGGAAAGAGGCAGATGACAGAAATGATTGAGGCTAGTCTCCCACCCTGCCTCCCCAGGAGGGGTGGTGGGTCTGTAGTTGTACGTTCTGGCCTGGTAACACTTGTAGGCATGGCTCAGTCAGGCGCAGAAATGAAGGGAGGGGGGGTATTCCTACAAAACAGACTTCCTACCAGTGATAGTCACTGAGTACATGTGTCACCAAAGACGGATCAACTGGAGTACCATGGCTTTGGTGGCTCTAGTCTACAGCAGTTATTCCATAACAGATTACACACTTTTGCACAGGAGGTAACCTGAGCCCCTGTGTGCAGCAAATCATTGTTTCTTGTGTCATTAATAGACATTAGTGCTTCAGGAAACAAAGTGAGTGTAATATGATTTTTTTTTTTCCCTTCTGAAAAACTTTTAAAATACTTGATAGAGCTCTCAATCTAGTGAAGTAATGAGCCTTTTTGTTCATAGGTAACGTTGTTGGCAACCTGGGACACTCCTTTTTCAGCCAGAGCTTCCTTGGAAGCAAAGAACATGGAGGGTTCTTGTACGTTGCAGCTACGTATCAGTCCCTGCAAGACCTGGTGCTCCCAACCCCACCGTACTTGTTTGGCATCCTCATTCAGAAATGGGAGACTCCCTGGGCTAAAGTGTTCCCCATTCGGCTGATGTTGAGACTTGGAGCTGAATACAGGCGTAAGTAACATGCATTCTTTTAGCTGCAATTATTTCTGTGGGAGAATATATTCCTGTTCAGAGCACACACCACACACACCCCACCCCCCCCCCAAATCATTGCCTGTCAAAGCCACACAAGCTTAAACAGGCAAGTAAAAGCTGGGTTTCATGCCCATATTGCATCCAGCTAACAACACAGCAGTACTGAAGTTGCGATATGACCTACAGCCTTTTTACAACTGTACTAGTTGATCAGGGAGATTTTTGTGGAGGCAGATCTACTTCTGAGCTGCTGTTTGTAGTTGACTTAGTGACCTGAAAGAGTTATGTGCAGAGTAAGTCTGATTCAGCTGGTGTAGTTAGGACAAGGGAGAGCCTTTGAGATGTTAGGCTCTTTCCATGCTGAAATGAAAGAGCATTTGCTTTTAGGTTTTTAAAACCATACTCATTTTCCAGAGAATAACAATATGAGTGCTGGGGCAACTGACGTGGCAGTTTGTTGCAAAAATTCTGTTGCAACTAGTAACATAAAGGCTGGAGAGAGTGTTTCAGCTGAACGTGAAATTAGCATAAAATTAGGATAAAATCTTTTTCAAAAGACATTTGCCATCACTGGATCAAAGAGATTATTGGAAGTCTGTCCACCATGATGGGCCAAAAATTTGCTGTCTTGCTCATCTGCTGTTTTAATTGGCACATCTTGAAAAATCTGAATTGCTATGAAAATGGTCTGTTAATTTTTTTTTCAAAACTTCTTAACAAAGTGAGTTTTAGAATATGCTTTACAGGGATTTGTTTAACTTGTGATAAGTTTAACTTGTGCCATTTAGGGAATTTGGGAATTTTTCATAAAACTTACGTTACTGGAAAGGAAAAAGAAAATCTTCAAAATTTCCTTTCTGCATATGAGGACTGTAGGTTAAACTTCTCTGAAGAAACATTAGTGTTAAAGGTGTGTAAGTTTTTGTATCTATCCATGAGGTTTTAAAGTGGTATATTTATTCCTTTCAACATTTAGAAAAACAAAGATAGATGCTTGTATTTTGGATGTGACATCTGGTTTTGAGCACAGAAACAAATGTTTTGATATTCACAGGCAGAAGTACCTGCTCTGAATATGCTGGGAAGCTGTGGTTTGAATCCCTTCTATAGCTGTGATTTGGATTCAGGCATATTCACTTCTGCTGTGACAGTTGTGACTGTGGGTCACTTCCACAATCCCCTCTCGGAAGAGGCTGCATTTGTGTCCCAGGTTTCCTTGGGTACATCCTCTTTTCTGGTGGAATTGTCAGATTCTGGCTATTTGTCCAGTGCTGCTGAACGTGCAGCAGATCAGATGCAGGAGTCACTCTGGTTTGCTAGATGTCCAGAAAAATCTGCTGAGCATCTGCAGATAACTGTACAGCTCAAGCACAGGGAATTCAGTGCATCTGGGATGTAGCTGAGCTGCTGTATGCAGCCAGGGTGGCAGACACAGGAAATTCAGCATGTCTTGGTGCCTCACAACATTGTGCGTGAGTTTGGTCAGCTGTATGGTGTGTTTGTAGGAGTTGTGATGCTTTCCAGATAATCAGTGTGCAGAAGCTGGAGCTTATTTCTATCAGGAAATCCTGATGATGTTACTCAAACCTGCTGAGCATTTTGCAGCCCCTTCTGACTACATAGGGAACGGTGAAGATGTGCAGCATTTTGGGAAATCAGGCGGAGTGTTTGCCTGAGGATAGTTTAGGAACCTTTTTTCAAACACATGTTTAGAAAACCTTGGCATTACATATTACTGTGAGTCATGTTTCAAGCACTGTTATGGCTTCTGCTGCAACATAATGTAATGTAGCCAGATCCATACACTACACTTTGAATTGCATCTTAGGTATTTTACAAGTATGCCTAAGTCAGCCAATGAATGCAGGTGTTTTGCACTGCTGACGTACCATAAATGTAATTTTAATTGTTTTTGACGTACTCCTGTAGAGAATTTGTCACGTTCTTATGAAATTATGGAAACAGAAAATGAAATAGTCTCACTGTTATCACTTGAATGTCACATATGTCAGACACAGAAGCTAAAAGCTTATGATATTATAGTGGAGAGCAGCAGGATGGTCATAAAAAAAGGGAGAAGCCATTTCCAAGAAGTAGCTTGAGAAAAGCATGTAGAAATGTTGTCTTTGCAGTCACTGTCCAGATCGCTAGGTTTCAGTCTTGCAGTGTAGCACTTGTAAGCATTCCACATAATTCTTATTGTTTCTAGTGTGGTGGGCAAGGAGCCATGACACATGTGTAAGGTGTATTATAATGTTAAACCCTTCTTCCCTTTTGCTTTTTACACTCTGGTCATCTTTTCAGTCTCTTCTGCTGCTGCTGCTTACCATATTCAACAGAGGAGATTGTATTTGAGTCTGTTTTTGAAGAATCTCAGTATGTAAATTTCAACCTGACCTTTTCTGTTTTATTTTATCCTAGTTTATCCATGCCCACTTTTTAGCGTCAGATTTCGTAAGCCTTTGTTTGGAGAGACTGGACACACGATTATGAACCTTCTTGCAGTAAGTGCTGAGACTGAGTTTGCAGGTTCCATCGGTGTGAATGGATCAATGTGGGGAGGACTGTACTCCTGTTGCACATAGTAGCTGGCAGGCTTAGAAGATGACAAGAAGAAATAGTGGGCATTTGATTGAAATTACCTGCTGTTACTGATACTGGATGTTAGCTTTAGACAACATGGTGATTTGTAAAAAGGTACCCAAATCAACATCCAAAACCTGGCCACCTGAGAATGTTTGGATCTGGAAACAAGCGCAGTAGTTGCTCAGATTCCTTCCTCAGAAGTGCTAGATCATCACAGTGTGCAGTCACAGCTCTCTGATTATACAGAGCTTCAACTGAAGTGATTAGCTCTTCCTGCTTTGCTAATATTTTCAATATAGAAAATTCTCTTTGATGCATGACTTAATCTCACTGCTACAAAAACTAGTTACTCTATCCAGTAATGTAGCAGAACACAGAGAGCAAATTTTCTTACATACAGTGATTACATTCCAAGCTGGAGAATATTAATTTTGATGTAAGAAAATCAGTGAAATGACTAACAGTCGTGATGATGTTTTTTCATTTGAGTACTTTGATTATATAGGTTACAAGCTGTGATGTCTCTATCCCTCCCTGCATTTCAGTCACCGATTACAATTATTTCAATGGGCTAACTAGTAGTCACTAGGATAGTTATGAAACCTACAGTGTCAATGATGATCATCATGTCTGACTTTTAAAAACTTGTTTTAATTACCAGGACTTCAGAAATTACCAGTACACGCTGCCAGTCGTCCAAGGTTTAGTGGTTGATATGGAGGTCAGAAAAACCAGCATCAAAATTCCCAGCAACAGATACAATGAGGTAATGCTTATAAGAAATACATTTGTGTACAGTTTCTTAGTGGTTGGAGGACCTGGGATCTAAAGGAATTTTATTTTATTTTATTCACTATCACTAGGGAAAACTGCCTCAAAAGCAAATGATAAATGCATGATGCGCACGTGTTTTGAGAGTGAGCGAGGGTGGCTCCACAGGAAGAATGCAATTCAGTTTAGTATTAGTTAAACTCTTAAACTCTTTTTCTTCAAGGTTTTTAACTGTTTACATATAAAGTGTAATTGTAAATGACAGAACGTAGTAGAGTGTTTTAAATGCTGGTTTGATTTGAGCAAATAAGTTGACAAACTTTACACGAGGTAAACTATTAGCTTTTCTCACTGATGTTGCATGTGCACACTCACAGCATTTATTAGTATTTGTTGGGTTGCTGTTTATTTTATGTAAAATATCTCTCAGCATCTAACTTTTATACTTGATTTCTGGTGTGAGAAAATCCATCAGTGTCTTTAGGATTTAGTGCTGTTGAGAAAGCTGTGTGAGAAGATATTTGAACAATAGTGAAAGAGAACAATGGAGAAGGTGATTGATTTTGTGTTCTGTCTGAAGCGGGGGGTAACTTGGTATTTTGAAACTAATCAGCAGTTGGGGTGAGAGCAAACCTCCTGGGCAAAGTTTTATTTGTAAAAGTTCTTGTAGTATCAGAGCAGAATGCAGCTTTATCTCAAGAGAGAATTTCCTTGCAAGAAGCATTTGAGTAAAATAATAGTGAGAGCAAAGAAATAAATTTAAAAAAGGAAAAAGTGTTCTTATGTGAAGCTTGAAAAAGCTGAAACTGATGAAGCAAGAAGACAAAGGGTCTGTTAAAAGGCATATTAATTCTTGATGCAGTTGTGAGAAAATGGAAAAGGTCAGTAAAGTTTGCGTGAAGTAAATAGAGATTGGCACACAAGATGCAGTTTAGTAAGTGTTAGCTGTGCCTGGCATTTGGAAGTGTGTCGGCTTCAGTTCCATGTTAGACACTGCACAAAACTCGACTGTGAGGAAATTCCTGTGTTATGCAGGTTAGCAAAATCTCTGCATTGTGCTTGGGTTCTCCTTCCAGCGTGAAGCAAGGATTCAACTTTTTAAATGAAGAAAGTGTTACTTATTTAACTTTATTGCTTGCAATCCAGTTGAAAGGTTGAATTGCTAGAAATATTTCATCTGAGTTTAGTTTGAATTAAGATGAATTAAACCACAAGACCTTTACTTTTTTTTCCCCTGTAAAGCAGCATTTAATTAGAAGAGTATCAGTCAATCTGTATAGAAAGTGAAAAACTCATTTTAATTCTCATCCACGGATTAAATGTGGAAAATTCAGACTGCAGTTAACAAATTAAACATTAATATATAGTTTTTCCATTAAACACATGTTTTTATCTTCAAAATTTTTTAAATTTTCTACAACTTCTAGTAATACTTAGTTCCCTGTTTAGTCCCTCAGCAAAGGTGACTCATTTTTTAGTAAGTTGCCTTGTTACAAAATGCGGTTGCCATGGCCAGTTGTTTCTTGTTATGCTAAAGGCAACTCCTGGGCTCCATAAAGATGGCTGCGGTTGAGCTTAAATCTTGTTTCTGGAGCATGACACAGTAAACTAGATAATGAAATACACTGTTGTCTGATGCAAAATCTTAATTAAGTTTCCTCCCGAAACATTACACCTGTGCCCATTTGTCAATAGTGAGCATCAGCTAATGTTCCTGACACCATAATTAAGGTCTTATGTTAGACTGAGAGAGACAAATGTGTGGTGTGTAGCGTGCATGCTTATCAGCTACAGGAAGCAGAGGATGGGAGTATGAGTGTTCTTAAGGGATGTCAAATAATTCAGCATTTTCCTTGTCTTTAGGGTTTTCACTGGGGGGGGGTGTGTGTGTGTGTGTCATTTAATAAGTGGTTTTTTTTTTTAAAGCAAACATGTAATTTTTGTTTTTGAAACAAATTTCAGAGATAGATGACTTAGTTTTCTTTTTGGATCAAAAATCTCATAGTCTGAGCCTCCGTGAAGAGAAAGAGAGGAGAAAAGGAAAGAAACTGTATAATTTACAAGAATATTTTGTCAAGGCATGTAACTAGGCGTATGTTAGGTGATAATCAGCAAAACTAAAATGCATATATATATATCATACGCTCTTTGGATGCTTTTTGGAGGCCTCCTTTGCAAAGAATTAAAATTATTTCTGGATGTCTGTGATTCTGATCTTTTTTAAAAGTCTTCAAAATGGGAACATTGATCTCAATTTCACCAAGTCATGCAGGTGAAGCACAGAGACACTGAAGTTTTGGTGCCTGGTCATGGCAGAACCAGGATTGAACACCACAAGTCTGAGTTCCAGACTAACACTGAACTGTGGAGGCAGTATCTATGATTTATGTCACAAGCAACTGTAGTTGTATAAACAAGCCATATATTTCCTCCCCATGTTTTTCTAATTTTTTTTTTTCCTGTGAATTTATTTTTTTGAAACAGCTGGAGAAAATAGCTTTTGCAACCTATAGCTCAGCTATCCCTTATACCCTTTATCTTAATTACATAAAAGGTGGTACTTTAAAGCATCTAGACAATGTAAGACCTGAACCTTCTTTTCAAAAACAGTTTATGGTTCTGAGTGCTAAAATCTAACCAGAGAATATGAGCACTGTTGAGAAGCTTGCTCTGTCTGATTAAAGTGTTCCAGGAATCACCTATTTATGGTAGTGCTTGATGAACGGTGTAGAAATGATAAACCTTTTTGTTTTGCAGATGATGAAAGCCATGAACAAATCCAATGAGCATGTTCTAGCAGGGGGAGCATGCTTCAACGAGAAAGCAGACTCACATCTGGTGTGCGTTCAGAATGATGACGGGAATTACCAGACGCAGGCCATCAGCATCCATAATCAGCCAAGGAAGGGTAAGAGTGGGGGTTCACGAGGAGGCCATTCCCTCCCGGCACTCTGCATGACTTCTTTGCCGTTTGTGTTACCGTTACTGCATGTGGCTTTCTGAATCGGTCAGAACTGGGTTTGTCTGCATTTCACCAAGTTTCTGTTAAGACATTCAGAGAAAATAATTCTGACTGCTGGTGTTACTGAGTGGGCAGCTTTGAGTTAGACATGCAACAGAAGGAATAGTAACACATTTCTCTATCTGCCCTTTACCCTGTTGGTGTTTTATTTGCCTTGCAGAACCCATGATCTCAGATGTCGGGGGCACACTGTGCGGTTCACATCGTGTGTACGGTCCCCACCATGCTTCTCTAGGTCAATGGTGCTGTCCCGAACTTGTCTGAGGGGTGTTCTAGCAACTTTCATAGATCAAGCACACATAAAATAAAGCATGTAACAGCTTGCTCCCTTGTAAATATGGCAACACTGCTTGAACAATACAGCTCAGGACTTGTGGTGCTCCTGAGGTCACAGTGCTCTAACTACATTAATAATGAGAGCTGTCTTTGGCATTACTGGAGTGCAGGTGAGGTTGTGGTTGCCTGTGCTTGACCTATACTATGTAAAAGGAGGAAGATTAGGTTTAGTATGAGCGAAAGGTAAATAAGAATAACCTACATTTAATAATGCATCTTCAAGAAACTCCTCATGTTCACCTCAATTAAGACAATCTAAGGCTTTAAGACAATTTCCAGGCTTTATTTTTGTTAGAGTAGGCTGAAAGGCTGCAGCAGCAATGTGCTGAGAACGTAAATGTTGTGGTTTGGGGGAAAATTTCTGGCAAAGACATTTATACTATCTCCAAATGAGAACAAGCAAGACAGAGGTCAACTTTTGTTTTGCAAGTATCCCCAGTCACTCCAGTGAGTGTACTGGCACAGGATGTCACTCAGGATTGATGGTCTTAGCTGACTTCATTTTACCTATGGGACAAGAGGAGGGATTTCCAGCAGGACT